TGACGTGATATTTTTTGGTTTTCTTACTCTTTTTAAGTATTTTGTAATATTTTTAGTTTTTTAGACTACTTTTAATTATGTAATATGTATTTGGAAATCGGATTTAATTTAAACTTTTTATTTGTTTGGACTACGATCATTTTATCATTGATTATGTAATAAAGTTTTAATCTTATAATTATTGGATTCTAGGTGTAAAGTGCGCTAGGTACAAACCGCACCACATCTCGAGATGCGGTTTTTTCCAGTTTAAGACATATGCGGTGAGGTTTGCGATTTGGTTCGCCAGGTTGTCTCTTACCTGCCCATGGATTCAGTAGCAGTTTGAAAGGTTAACCTATTCGGGAATCTCCGGATCTTATTCAAAGAGAAAGATCTCAAATATCAGGAGTGGTCAGAATTCCGTAATAGAGTCCGACCACAACGACCGAATTGGTTATCTTCATGCATCTCAAAATCTCACTCAAAAGGTGTTGAGTTGGATTCCCATTCTAATTCTAACTAAGGATTCTTGTGGTTCCAGAGGATCGAGCTACAGGAGAACCAAGAACGGCCTCCCAAAAGGTAAAGGATGCGTGCAAAGGTTTCCTCGGGCCAGACGGAGATTGGCCCTCGAGTGCAAAGGCAAAAGGGGCTTTTCCACATAAAAGGGGAATCTTTTGTTACAATAGAAGCAGAAAATGCTCAAACCGCATATGCAGTACGGTTTCCGGTTTGGAGCCAAACCGCACCGTAAACACCAGTATGTAAATATAACTTCATAGTTTATACGGGCCAATACTTAATCAACAAAATGAGGGAAAAGGAAAAACCCTAAATTACTTCTCAGCATACGACAAGGTCAGAAAATCTTATGCCTTCAAAGTTCGAATTGGTTAAAACGATCAGAAAACGATTAAAATTTAGAAAAATATTCATCACTTTGCATATTGGTGAACACGATTTGTATTTAATTCATAGTGAAAGCTTTCCTCAATCGTTCATCACACACGTATTTTGAATCTGTTCAATTAATTTTTACCCATTTTGTGTACTTCGAATATGTATAGTTCAAAATTCGATTAGTATTTGCCCATTTTGTGTACTTGGAATATGTTCATGCTTGAATCGATTAGTGTTGTTGTATTGTTGTGTTTGCTTCATGCTTGAATCGATTAGTGATGAATGTTGATGTATTGCTTGAATCGATTAGGGTTCAATGTTCATTATCGTTCGATTACTCTCATTTGTTGTTCTTTGATGTCATTACTTTGATTTTTGTTGTTTGATTACCAAATAGGGACGGTAAAGCAGGGACTTGCTTTTTTACATTCTTTTCTAATTTGAACTTTTAAAAATGCCCTATAGGTTAGCTAATGGCTAGTGGTAATGGGCGTTCTAATTTGAATTCAACTGAAGCAAGTTCTTGTACAGAGTCATTCTTGAAACATAATTCGGGTGATGTGGGATGGAACTATGGTACTTTGTGTGATCCTACAAATAAAGATGCGGTCAAATGTAACTTATGCAGGTTTATATGTAAAGCGAGAATCATAAGGTTAAAGTACCACATAGCGGGAATAAAAGGGAAGGGCGTTTCCATATGTAAGAAAGATAGCAAAGAAGATAAAGATGTGTGTGTTGCTTTACTTGAGAAGCGAAAAGAAAAGAAAAGAAGGTAGAGAATAGAATTTGGAAAGAAGAAATGAGGGCGGAAATTGAAATAGAAATAGAAAATGAGTTGAATGTGGGTCACAAGAGAAAGAATGCAACATCTTTAGAGCCCTTGGACAAATTTGCTAATCCTATGAAACTTGTTATGCTCAATTTGTAAGATAAGTATATCGGTAAGCATTTACCTGGTGAATGTTTCGTGAATATCCTTAAATCTATTCATCCACCAAAAGAATAAACGGGAATCTGAAAACAAATAATACCCAACAACCCTAACCGAAAAAAGGAGGGAAATCGCTTATCGGTCGAAGGTTCAAAAGCGTTCAATCCTAGACGTTCAAACACAGTTAAGGTACAAAATAATTTTGATTCTTTCATTTTATGATCAATGAATAGTCAAAAAAAATGTTTACAAGTCGATTGGATGAACCTTGATGCCATAGCATAAGCTTAAAGTCGTTGGTTTAAAGCTACTATTGCCACCGTTCATGGCAACTTTGTAATGGCGGGATCTAAATAAATCGTTTGTGATTTGTTTTTATGAAGAATGCTTGGGGATATGATTTCAAGTATATTAGTATGTTACTGATCGAATAGTGTGTTGGTGATTTTAGTGAAATCATCTGTTAATTTTAGGTAATTGGATTCATAAGAGAATATAGGTTGTTGGTTAAGTTATAACAAGGGCTAGGAGGTGTGGATTGCACACTCGTATAAGCAAATTAGAACCATCCATTGTAGGATCTCTTTGTACATGGAGGGTTTAAGTAGCGATTGTTGGATCTCTTTGTAAAAGGAGGGTTTAAGTGGTAGAGGGCGGTACACGGGCCGTGCACTTTTGGTCATCGGGAGAACACAGGTTGTACTTGGAAACATAAGGTTGTGCACGCACAAGCCATGCATTTTTCATCAACATGTTATTAGCTCTTGTGTTCAACTCTATATAGTTGAAGGTACACTAGCTAGCTGATGGTTTCCATTATGTTCAGCTTGGTGATAGGTTTATTAGCTGAAGGTTCAGCTAGATAATGGTTCAATTATGTTCAGCTCGTTGAAGGTTTAGCTAGCAGATGGTTCACAGGTGTTCAATTTCGCTGATGGTTCACTAGAGCACATTAAAGGATTGCCATATGTGTTTAGCTCTACATAGATGATGATTTGCCACTAATTTGTACTTGTCTTATTTGTAACTCCTCAGTCCTTATTTACAACAATCATTTCTATTTAATAGGAGTTATTCACGACATTAATGTAGGAGCGGTTTTGATTCTCCAAGTTTAAATGGAACGATTTTTCTGTCAAGATCGAAACTGAAAAATTGAGATTATTCTCGAGTGAATTTCGTGATACCCAAACAGATATGAGTCGAATTATCACTTAAAGAAAACAAACTCTCACACGATTTCAAAGTTTTGATCCAAGTTTTCTACTCATAATTTTCTAACAACACTCACAAATTCCCCAATCATAGTGTTCTAAGTAATCAAGCATTCAAATTAGTTGAGAGGAGATTAATTATCAATGTTTAGGTATATATAGCCATGGAGAGATCCAACCAATTGACTTGGAAACATATATGGACTATTTTTAGTCATTAGTTAGCCTATTATTTCGGACTTGTAAATAGACCGTTTGAACTCGCATGCAGCACTCTATAGTCGTGGATCTCAAGTCAGTTTTATATGATATTTTGTGTAATATTTTTGGGTTGCATGCAATAAATGTTTTCTTCTGGTATGTTGATGTCATGAAAAGTTGATGCAACATGCAGGAAAGCATGCGATTTATTTTAAGAATACATGATCATGGTTTATAATTGCATATTATGTTATGTGGAGGGGTATGGAGTAGGAATCATGGGGACTATGATGGCCAGATGGTAGATTACTTTTTGAAATATTTGAATGATTTGAAATAGTTACAAGTAATTCATTGGTTTGGTAGATTATTGTTGAAATATTTGAATTTCATGGAAGGATTTGAAATTGAAATGAATCGAAAGGATTTAGAATTTTTGGTATATTCCATCTATAGAATTTGAAATGAAATTAGATTCCATTACTTATAGATATATTATAAAAAGAAAATTATAAATGATTATAAAATTAATTAAATTACTTTTTATTAATTAATTAATACAAAACAAAACATTAATACAAACATATCATATGAAATTCCAAATACCCTACGGGGTTTCCAGATCTTCCCGGTATTTCAATTTCAGACTTTCTTTAAAACCAAACGCAGAATTGAAATGAAATATAATTCCAAATCCCATTAAATCTCGCAAACCAAACCGTTCCTAACATTTTATTTCGGTTGCATTGTAAAAAAGTGATTTTGAGTCGATCTAATATTCTGGCATGTAACAATTATAAACAAAATTGCTTTACAGTATCACCCGAAGTATCAAAATTTCACCGGTTTTTCACCACAGCTCCTCCAACTTTGGAGAAACGACACTCAGCCCCCTGCACTTACTAACTTCTCAAATTTAAACTTTTAACCCTCGTGTCATCATTTTGTTTCATTTCTCCCCTAGAAATGAACTCAAACCATACAACAAAGTACACATCATTACAACATGATTTTGCTCAGAAACACTTTTCCCATGTACTATTTACAAGTGACTCTGTTATTAACTGCAGAAATGAGCTTTATTTTTAGAAGTATATAATATTTATATACAACAAATGCTCTACTAGCAACTCGGGCACTGTGCCTATGACCCTTTCAAGCAACAAAAACACAAAAAAGTAATCAGAGTCACTGGCACAGTGGCATCTGGGTTACAAGCAAATCTCAACCTTTCTATTGGTTAGGGGCCTCGGGGGTTCAAGCCTCACCAAACGTGAAAAGTGATGAGTTTTGCCATATATAAATATACTCCCTCTATCCCAAACTAAGTGTCTACTTTCCCATTTATACCCTTAATTATGATCCTTGCGAGCAACAAAAACACAAAAAATCACCAAAGGGTCATTAGCCCAGTGGCATCCGGGTTACAGGTTAATCCCGACCTTCCTATTGGTCAGGTCAAGGGTTCAAGCATCACCAAATGTGAAAAGTATGTGAGTTTTGCCATATGCAACTAATATGCCCTCCATCCCAAAATAAATGTCTACTAGACATATATGGAGAAATTTAATTTCTCTATTGTTAAGGGTAAAAGTGTCATTTAGTTAATTATAAAGTATGATAATTACATATTTCCAAAACTGTTTGTCACTTTAGTTTTGGGACGGAGGAAGTATACTTGAAGAAACTCAATAATAAATCTGGGAACTTTTCAAGATGTACAAAGGCATAAGCAGAAACAAAGCAATACTACTGATTCATTCTTATATCAACATATTCTTCAGATTTTTGTATTGATTAAAGGCTATCTCAAAATGCCGACCACGAATAGCAGTTTTACGACCAATCTATATAACTATCACGGTTAGCATCTTCTAAATGATCACTAACTATATCTACCTCGTATAGGGATGGTCATTCTGAGTAAGAAACCTAGAGTTTATTTGGTATCTACCATGTCATTTTGTAATACTGATTCATTCTTTCATTTGTATAGCCGTATGTATAAGGGTGGTTTTCAGGATTAATGGTGGAACAGTATAAAACGTTAACCAGTGATAGCTATGGCTCACCCTGTGTCGGTGAAACTGGCAACGCCTCCTTTCTTTTCTGCTTCCTTTTCCCTGCATGCAAATTCAATCAAAGCCTTAAAATCGGGTAGATAGGTGACAGAAGGATGGTAAAATATAGTGCAAAAATGTTTATACTTCCTATTTAGTGCAACGATGAATTTTTTTATCTCGATTAGTGTAAGAAAAGTTCAATTCTTCCTATTACATACTCATTTTACGCTAGATTCCTTTTATTTATACCCATTTTACGCTCTATTCCTTCTATTTTATACCCATTTTGCACTCTATTCCTCCCAATGTATACCCATTTTACGTTCATAAACCGGTTTTCGACCAACTTGGAGGAATAGATTGATTTTGATGTGACATTTTTTTCACGTGATTAAAAATTACAATATATCTTGACAGTTTGACATTCACATTAGCATTAGTTAGAAGATCTAACGGCTAATGATCAAAACGGGTACGAAATAGGAAAAATTGAAACCAACTGAAAAAAAGATCATCATTACACTAAATACATACCGAGGCAAACTTCGTTGCATTTTTATGCAATTTGGCCTAAAATATAATCTAATAAATAATCTTGATGGGAATCAATATGCAGTGTAAAATGGGATTGTGACGCACCTTCCATGACCTTGATTCCTAGTACCTGTGCAAGCTCTGATTTGCGAAGCTTCGAATAACCTTTCAGTTTCCGTTGCTTTGCAATGGCTTTTAAATCATCTAAAGTGTAGTAATCCATGTCCAAGCTACCAAGTATCTCAGATCGACCATGGGGGCTAGTCACATCGATTCCAAGGCTGCTCAACTCTTTGGTTCCTTCAAGCAAGCCTGGTGCACTTGAACTCGTCTGCAAAAGTGAAGTTAGTTTGTGTCGCCTCTTGTATGTCTTAGTAGATGATACACTCGGACAAAGATTAGAATTTTCATCTCCTTCCTCATCGTTCCTCTCTTGTTTCACGACCACTTCTATATTTCCATCATCAACATTATGCTTGCTAACAAGCTTGGTCTGAAATCTTTGCTTTCGCTTTGGACCAGAGTCATCTTGAGTATGCAGTCTATGATCTGAGAGCTCCAAAAGTGTATCTGGTGCATTCTGTTCTCTATCTACCAGACTATCATCTGGTCTCGATCTTGCTTCAAGGGAAATAGAATTTGACTTGTCTCTATTGTCAAGAGAAAAAACCGATTCTCTAATGATATTTGGCTTTGCATTGGGTGCTTCAGATGATTCTTCCAAAGAAACGGATCTGGAACCTATACTTTCATCGTCAGTCTGGCAGGGAACAAGTGCAATCAAATCAATTGAAATAATTTTATTGATTCGCAACGCTTAATATAATCTTTTCTTTTTTATGGAAGAATGCAATGTGAAACTAATTGACTGACATATTAACACATTGCACACCAGAAAAGAATTTTGATAGATTATATCAGCCGTGTTTATTAGGGTAATCATGTAGCACTACTTGAATATAGAACATGTATGCAAGTGTATATAACAAGCAAAGTCATTTTTTGGTCGATATGGAGAAACCTCAATCAGAAAAGATGATACAATTAAAATCATACCAAAAAAATCAGAAACCATACAACAAGGCCCCTTAAACAGAACAAACCAGATTATTTGGACTAATTTTAAGATTGCTTTTATTATCACACGAGTTACTAACAAATAAGTATTGATTATTATCACAATTGTCATCTAATCTTGGCATTTTCTGGCAAAAGTTGGTATAACCTTGCACATAATTCATCATGCAAGTTAGGGAAACATGCATAACAATTTTACCATAATGTGGTAAGCAACCTCTAGTTTAGCTGTACAGGGTATATCATCCTCAAGTACACAACTTAGAGCGGGTGTATGCTTATATAGCTGCAACAATTTGCAATGCCAATCTTAAATATGTAAGGAATAGGTTACAAATATCATCTCTTAACTATTGGCCAACCAGCAGATCTTTTATGCACTATTGGTCCAAAAGTCACATTTCATACCAGGTTAATCCAAACCCCTAACTGCATTGATGTCATTGCTGTAAAAGGAGGCAAACACATCAATGTTCTCATCATCTTCATCATTTTTCATAATTTTAGAAATACAAAATATCAGATTGAAATCAAACTAAAAAACATCAAATAATTTTTTTGTTAATCTTGTTCATCACTAGATTGTTTATTGTTTGAGAAGAAGTGCCCATTAATCTCTAGCAGGTCTGTTATGAAGTGATGATAGTTAAGACTCTAATCTTGTGTGTTATGATTTGTGTCAAATAATTACTGGATGCCTTCATCACTACTATAATTTATATAATTTCGAATCAGTCAATAACCTAATTTTGGAAGCATTCATCCATACATCCTTGAAATGCTTCACCTGCTGTTCCCATCTCTGCGATTCCGTCATCAATGGCTAACTTCTCTACAAATTGATGTTTGTGTTCCAGTTTGTGCATTTTTCTTAATTTATAACTCTATTGACACTGCTGTTGTTCCATCTCCACGATCCAGTCATCAAGGGCCGAAATGCCTCAAGCGATGCATTGATGCAGTTGGCTTTGGGGCTAAACTTGGTATGAATTATGAAATGCGACTATTTTTGGACTAGCGGTGCAAAAAGGAAATAGCCATTGAACTAAACTTGTCGGTTGGCCCTTAATCCAGGGACAATCTTTGTAGTTTACACTGTATAATAACTGTAAAAATTGGATAGGTTCGATCTATGGTCATTGAGGCCTCCTAAAAAGATCTACTAAATTCGTCGGGTTGTTCTGCAAAATAGAATCAACTTGAATTCGGGACCACAATTGGAAATCTTAGTGAAACATCTCGGACCTACAAATGGGGATATTCCTAAAACTGACAAACAAAAAAGGAAAGGGTGAGGGGGGGGGGATACCATTCGAGCCTTTTTTTCATGCTTTTCCCTGCCCCTTCTTTCATAGAGAAGAGGATGGATTATTCACATTTCATTTGATGATCAGAGGCGAATTGAAAGCTAAGAAATGGTAATTTTAACCACCAAGTTCGGGATGGATTGATGTTTTGCAAGTTCATTATTACAGGTAGTTCCTACAAAGGATCAGACTGATGACGTATACAAATACAATACAGGAATTCTCCGATTCATTCAAATTCCGAAATCAATAACAAATACAAAAGGGTCTTTTTTGATTGGATGGTAATGTTTTTTGATTAGATGGGAATGAATGAAAAATCTTAATCTTAAATCAATTCACATCGACTCTGAAAAAGCCTTGACTTAATCCTAGGACTTTAAGAATGCCTAACTTAGACTTCAAAGTGAACAATGATTCTCCAAGTTTCTCATCTTAATTGATATGTATGTAGTTTTTTTCTTAAAAACAAAAACCTACCTGGCACTTGATCGTTTTTAGCTGATGTTTCCACTTCCCTTGAGTTTCCAAAGATGGCTTCTTGCAGACAGAGTTGCATCTGGGAGTCATATTCTGTAGAACATCCTTTGTCATTGTACGGCTCTCTTTCTGAAATTTGTTCAATTCTCTGTTGATCTTCTCCATGGATCCCTGACACAGACCAAGAGCAGAATACTTGGACACAGGAGTCATACACTGCATAACAGAATAAAATCAAACATCAATCCAGTAATGTGTGGAGTACTATAAGAGCAAGGTATGCAACTACAGTATACATGAACCACAACTTAGTTCTGTTTGATAGCAGTTTAAAGAGCTTAACAGGACTCACAGCTTATTTGGTTAGCTATACATGACTGTTTGATAGTGGCTATGATGTAGAAAGTGGCTTATTAAGCTTTTAGGGGGGAGCTTTATGCAGAAAGCCAAGTTTTTCCCAAACCTGCCCCTCCCGATTAAAAAACTTGCTCCTTCCATCTATGAGAAAACCCTCCCAAACAAAAACATTTTCAATTTTTACAGACAGATTAATCCATACAGACATCCTTATTCATACAGGACTTAATGGAAAACCAACCAAACAGCCTCTTAGAACAGTTCCAGCACATGCTGCACATCAACCATTTAATGAAACAAAGAATTTGTGATGAAGAAAAGCATACATGAACATTATTCAATGATGGAGCTCCAAAATTATTGGTACTTTCAGGATAATTTGCGTTCTCCTCTTCAATCTTGACTCTCGTCTGTGAAATTGTGTGTTTCTCCAATGCAGTAATTATGACTCTTTTGATTTGTTTTACATTTGAAGAACTGCCCATTTGTTTCTTCTCCCCAAACAGACTGTCTGCATGTACTTGATAGTTGGAGCTTTCAACAATACTGGTATTACCTGCAAGCTTTTGATTTGAAGAGAAAACATAAAGGTCATCGTCTTTTTAAGAGAAAAACATTTGTTCTAGTGGCATCTACCAAGAACGGGTAATGTGCAATTAGGATATAACAATCCTTCATATAATAACTCACTGCATGGTCAAAGTTGTAAGTCAGTAAAAGAGGCCCTGCCTTAGGATCAACCATATTCCAATATGGTTAAAATGATGGAGGTGAAATGGAGAAAAGAGAAGAAGAATGAACAAGAAGTAGAAGAAGATTTCTTGTGTCTAACTTATTTGATGTTATGATTGTTGGGCATCGCTTTGGAGGTATTTACACTATATGTCTCCTGGAACTAAAGGCTGGGTTAGGTGGAGGGCTCCAGGTTCAGGTTCAAGTACTGAAGGTTCAAGCTCATTAGTCATGTGAAGTGAGTGCATGGTAATACGATAAAGATGTAATTTATTTTAGTTCTATTTATAGACGTATTTTTTTGGATAATAATTATGATGGAGCATTTTATCGTATTGATAGGGCTCAATTGATTATCATGTATTTGAACGTCTTATTAGTTAGTCATTAGTTATAAGATATATATATATGGGTTAGTTTGTTATTGTACTCAAAGAACTTGTATTAATGCAACAATAATTTATAAACTTGAAATTTAAGTAATTTGGCATTAATAAGTAGTACATATTGCTTAAAAAGTTGTTTTAAGACTTTGAGCCAAATGCTTTATAATATAGTGTATATATAGGTGGTTTACAGAGTACAAAATGTAATCAAACTCTAAACCTAAAAAATACTTGATTAGGAAACTATACATAAATAAAATATATATTTATCTACCATCAAGAGTGATGATCTGGCAGCCTGTTACTTGAATGTATGTGTTGGAGGCCCAGAAGATCCCCCTTTTGAGTCAAATTGATACATGATGCGCATAGTCATTTAGGGGAGATTAGAAACAACACTAAGAGTCTTAGTGGTAGAGCATTTAGCATTTTCATGAGAAGACAAAAGCCAAAACATTTAAAAATAACTAATGTTTTACGTGTTAAACGTCCATGCCACTTCAACTCCTTTCATGTAGCCTTATATGGCCTAAGCAAGGATGAAGGAGTGTGGACACACAAAGTCAGCTGGTGTGAAACTAACCATCAGGCTACCCAAAAAAAAAATTACACCGATCATCCCTGTGGTTTGCTCAAACTCCACCAATTGCCACTGCAGTTTCGAAATTACACCAAGCCTCCCATCGTTTCAATTGCTTACACCATTTGTCCCTCCCCCTAAAGCATGTTAAGTTAATTGTTGCTCATGCTTGCACATTAACTTTTTTAATAAGAAAAAGGCAAAATGACCAAAATAACCCTCAACTTCAATGATGATTTTAACGCCCGTTACAGACAGCGATGAATAGTGTAAAAAAATTGAAACGATGAGGGGTCTGGTGTAATTTTGAAACGGCAATGGCAATTGGTGGAGTTTGAGCAAACCACAGGGACAATAGGTGTAATTTACTCAAAACAAAAGCAAAAGAAAATTCTTCTTGATTTCTCGATAAGCTATATAAATGGCTAGGTCGCTGACAAGTGAGCAAAATTGTTCTCACACATTTGCAATTTCATTCTCCTAAGAAAGAGTCACATTGCCACCCTGATGTGATCAGTAACAAGGAAAGATCGCAGATCTTTTATTGGACAAGTGCCTGGTAGCTAGTTTTACTCGACTCAATTAAACGTTAGAATTTTGTTTACAGTTGAAAAAAATTGTGATAATGCTGTATAAAGAAAATGAAAATATAGCCCTATCAAAAGTAGTTTGTCCATAAGGAAGCTTATCCATGAGAAAAACCACTGTGATCTGGTTGCTAGAATGTACTTATTTCTGAAAGGTAGCTGGAGTGAGCTAGCAGCCATGCATACCCAAGAAAATACACATTTGCAAAACTTCGTAGCAGAATAGATTGAGAAATAACAGCAACGAGGAATGTGTCTCTTACATGGTGAATGAAATCAACGACATAGATCTTGTTTACCAAGCATTTAGTCTTAATGCTATGAACCGTTACGAGAGACTATGATATCCGTGTTTGCATGTACTACACATGCATATGTCTACTTCTACCATATATACAAGCACATGCTATATGATAAACACACTCATTCTCTTCGTTTCCATCTGTTTGGAGCCTACATACAGAAGAAGAGGGAAAGGGGGAGGGAGAGAGAGAATAAATAGCATAAAATCAACCAAGCACTCTAAAGTCATTGTCCTATTTTTTTCTGGGTAACCATGGGTATCCGGTCTAGTTTATATGCACCAACGAATCCCGTGGCCAACCAAGAATGGCCTAGAATAATTGCAGGTGAACCTTCGTGGCCACAAGGGCTTTGGCAGCACCTGGATTCAAACTCCGGGAAGATGAGATCCACTACATCCCCCTGAGCCTTAACTGAGTCACAACCCAAGTGGTTATCGTATTGACTTCTAGATGGCATAGCTCTTATTTCCTAGAAAAAATCAACAGAACAAGATTTAGGGCATCCTCCACTATTTAAATGAGCAAGAAGTATTCTTGCACCAATAATATGACCACCAAATGCCTAATTATTTCTCACCCCACCACGATCTAAGGACCTTCCTAGTGAGTCGCTGTAAACGGTAAGGTTTTTATATCTCCCTCGTTAATTCCAATTGGTAACAACTCTAAACAAAAATATTTTATGTTTGCCTAACGTATAGCATTTACCAAAGGACACAATTCGGAAAAGACTTATAACAACGCAGTTCATGCTAATTAAACTTTCTGCTCTGTTATTTGCAAACTTTCTGCTTGTGACCTCCACTGATATATAGATATACATATAGATATATATATATATATATAGAGAGAGAGAGAGAGAGAGAGAATGTGAGAGAGAGAGAGAGAATGAGAGAGAGAGAGAGAAAGAGAAAATAATTTGCAAATGGTAGACCTGCTCATCTTTCTTTTGTAAGTAACGACAGAAAAGAGACTTCAGTATGGCATTTAGGCTTTCAGCTGGTTCCCTACTTGTTGACAAAAAATCTCCAGCATCATCCTTCAATTTCCTTATGGACAAGTCAAGGATATCAATCTTCACTCTCAGGAACATAGACAACGTATTTGAAAATTCTTCATCAGTGCAGGCTAGTTGACTCAGTAGGTCCATAAGCTCTTCTTCAAGTTCAATGATGTCAGCATCTGCTTTGCTTATCAAAATCCTTAGCACCTGTATGCAGCTTTTCTCGTTTAGACCCTTCTCTTCTATCTCATCTACAGGTTTAGTGCATAAGTTTGTAAGGTGCAAAACTGTTTACCTCCTATTATTAGTACCAAGAAATTAACTAAGAAAAAGACGTCAAGGAATAGGGCAGTGAATCACCATAAGCAAGAGACAATCCACACTGGCATCCGTCATTTCGGCAATTTATTTCTTCAGTTGCTGAAAAGCAATAACAAAATTACAAATTTGAACTTTAACAGAGAAGGAACAGAATGAATGTTGATCGAGGAAAATATATAGAAACCTGGATGGTTAGGTGGGTCCCAAAGGTCATCCATAATTCTGAGTCAGTCACCTGAAAATGCATTTAACATAATGTTGCTTTTTATGCCAAATTTAGGATACATAGGAAAAGAATAAAATCAAAAATACAATGCTTAACAATATTAATCGAAGACTTGAATCTAATGGTGATTCTCTTACATTCTAGTACCTAAATTGAACAGGTACCAAATCAAAACTAGCTGACTTGCTTTAGTGTTTGAGGTTTACATAATGAAATATATGCCCAAAGAAAGAGCAAATCTTCAATTAGTGAAACAATTCATGAAGGACAGAGGGGTCATATTTACTGATTGTGATCTTAAATTGGCATGTCCAGTCCAGTATATTAATAACTACAAATGATAAAACATATTCATTAATGAATGATTGTAAGAACTTAATAGCAAGTTCCAATCTTCATTTAGGTGGTGTCAAAATTATGATATTTCATCTTACTACATCAAGAGGTAATCCAACAGAAGTCGAATAATTTCATCACATTACAATGCAAATGAGAGAAAATATCGTATACTACAGTAGTCCTCATAGTATGGAACTTTGTAGCCATACATATAAGGAATGTTAATTCACACAAGATAGAAAAAGGGAGCATAGAATCCACTGCCCATTTTAACATTTTGAGAACAACCATAGCGCCGGTCCACCAAAAAAGGAAAAGGGGAAACGAAGAACAAACACAATTGTTGTTCTGATTAGTAAAGCCACTACCAACAGAGTCAGCAAATGGTAATTAAGCAGGTTCCAACAAGAACGTTAAAGAAAATTACATAAATCAGAAATCAAATGAATCTGGAAACCACAAGAAGTATGAGGTGAACAAAAAAATCTATAAGGATGTTTGCTACAGTTTCATGCTTACGATGAAAAGGCCATCTTTGTAGAAATAGTTTTCTGAAATTGTATATTCATAGAAGTAGAAACTACAAACAGCATAAACTGAACATAGATACCCTTACAAGCCATTTCAAGGGGGAAACATTAAACCCTTTACTGGCACATTGCATTTAAAGAAATATCAAGCGCCATTTGCAAACAGAAAAGAAACTAATACACAAAAATAAATAGTGGTAATGATCTATTTACTGCTGCATCCATGCCATAACATTTTACAGAAAAAGAAATAAGATATTATTTCCACACCAAAAAGAAAACACAATACAGTGTTTTTTAGGTCAAAGAAGAATCTTTGGAAACATTAACCAAAAGCAACATTCCTAATCAATTCAACCAAAACAAGAAATCGTCCATGCTTGAGAATATAACATTAATCACCTTATACCGATTGCACAAATGAGTCGGACTTCACATTAACAAAGTCATTACTGTCAAAATCCAGTGGAATTCACTAATGAATTAGTAGTCAAGAAATTCAAAGAATAATATGAGTAATGATATAAACAGAACAAGAATAATCTCCACACGCACAAATCACAATGATCAAACGCACATTTATGACACATAACTGCAAAACTCATATCGAAGCCATGGAATGTAATTTTCAGCAGAAAAAACAAGTAAGCAAATAGTGAACATAGAAGAACTGTAAATACGAAATCAGAGGATAAATGGTACCTTTGATGATGGAAATGACGAGCATCTAGGGTTTTGAAGATCTTGAAACAATTTGGGGGTTTTGGGGAGCAAGAAATGATAGGGTGCTCCGATGTACTACTGTTAGCAAAGTACATGCAGAGTGGCAGTGTCGTAATTTGAAGAAAGGGAAAGGTGGTTGTCGTTTTCATCACGTGCACTGCATACAGATATCGTGGGCCCCACTCATGATTGGTCAAATTCCATGAGGTGCCAAAATAATCGATTGTGATTTTATTTAAACTCCATATGCAACGTTTAAAAAATCATTTAATGTGTTTTTAATCAAATTTTAATGTTTGATATAAACAATTTTTTTTTTTTATAATACTATAAGGGTATTGACACAATATAATGAGATACATTTCGATTTTTATTTTTTATTTTTTTTATCTCAATTGATGTTATGATATAGTTTTATGTGATTTTGAGATCGCGATAATATTTTTATTTTTGAATAAAATATAAATATGAAGATATATATCATAAAAAATTGAAAAAAAATTATTGATATCAATACCAAACTAACTATTTAAAATTTCACTTTTTTGTTTTTTTTAATTCATTCTTTTATTTTCTGTTTAATAATTATAATTTATTAGAACTCATTGATTATCCTAATTATATTTTATATTTTTTATATTTAAAATAAGATATTTATCTTCTATTTGATTATGTTTATCTACAATTAGTTACATGAATTTCAAACATGAAACTTTAATAAGTTATACTTACGCACAATTACTTGTAATCTTAAATTTTAAGTAGTATACATCAATGAACAGTACTTCATGCTTAAAAAATGGTTTTTAAGAATTTGTGTCAAAGCTTTATAATATAGTATAGATAAATAAATGAATCTAAATTGTTTTACGAGATTATTCAAAACATTAACACACAAATTTAAATATGAATACATATATGTATCATATATAGCTTGAGGGCATGTCTTGGAAACGTCATGGTTTCGTTGTAGCTCATAAGACTTGAGACTTGACATCGTCGTCACGTCACACCTCATATCATTTAAAACCTTGATTTTGAGATTTTTTTTTGTTTTGTTGGTTGATGTTCCTTGTATTTTCAAATATCTCAAAGCATCCTCCAAAGTTTAAGTGTGTATACTTTTCATATCCAAAAATGGGAGTTATGTATAAGTTAAAATTGGAGATGGAAATCTTATTTCATCAACTCCTTGTTTATGGCATGTCATAGTTATATCTGACATACTCTTGACAACAGAGAAAGATTGACGGCAAAAGCGGATAGAAGACCTTTATCCTTCGAGTTTCAAGTGTATTCTTGGATAGTTATAGTAACACGAGATATATTGCGAAAATAAGTTGAACAGATGCATGGAACCATGTTCAAGACTTCATAAATCTACCCTACTTGTTACTCTGAAATGAAAAAAAAAAATAGAAAAAGTATGACATTTTCTCCAAATTGGAGAATCTAAAAAGTTCAGATGGAAGAAAAAAACGTATTAATGTTTCTGTTATTCCTAAAAAAAGCTCTTCAATCAATAAATTAAATCAAAATGGATGAAGAAAAATAGAAATTTTTATTATTGAATAACTTTTAAGAGTGTTGTTATATGCATATTTTCTAAAACCTGGTCATGTTTGACGATCATACTTTACTTTATTTTTTGAACTAATTGCAAACTCTTTTTGATAAGGGAAATTTATAAAAATAACCGGTTTATACAACCCTTTGCCACAAAATAACCACATTTTAGAGTTTTTGCCGAAATAACCACACGGATCGCCCCCGGGGGCGATCCGTATACTACGGGGGTGATCCCCCCATTAATTCTAAAAAGTCGAGATTACTGTTCATCCTCTCGTTGACCGTGTTTGACCTCGCCCCGGGGCCATCCATACTGTACGGGGGGCGATTCGGGTAAAAAAAAAATTTGATTTTTTTTCTAATACCAATTTTCACTATAAATACCAACCTCCTACTTCACACCTTCCCTTCCATTTCTTTTCTCATATATTTTACTCTCACAACCCTTAACCCATTAAACACAATAAATCATCACAACCTTTAACCCACTAAACACAATCAATCATCACAAAACATGAAATCACGTGAAAGTGATAAACCTTTATAATTATGGAGAAGCAAATTTCATGGGTAAATGTTTAAAAATAAATTTTTTTAATAAAACTGATACGTCATTGAAGTTGTATTTTTTAACTTTTTTATAACCAAATTTCATGGGTAACGGTTTAAAAATAAACATTTATAATTATGGAGAAGTAAAAATTATTTTTATCTGTTTTGGGTTTCGTAAATCAGATATAATATCTGATTGACGAAATTTGACCTCTATTTTATCATTTTGTGTTTTTTATTTAACAATTAAGGGGTGTTTTTAATAAAAATGGAAAAATACGTAAAGTGTGTCTTTTTACATATTTAATTTTAAATTTCATAGTTTTTCGTTATAAAATAACCGGATGATAATTGTTGTATTTTTTTTTTCATTTTTTGGTATTTTTAATAAAACTGATATGAAGTTGTATTTTTTAACTTTTTTAGAACCAAATTTCATGGATAAAGGTTTAAAAATAAACTTTTATAATTATGGAGAAGCAAAAATTATTTTTATCTGTTTTGAGTTTCGTAAATCAGATATAATGACGAAATTTAACCTCTATTTTGTCATTTTGTGTTTTTTATTTAACAATTAAGGGGTGTTTTTAATAAAAATGGAAAAATACATAAAGTGTCTTTTTACGTATTTAATTTTAAATTTCACGGTTTTTCATTATAAAATAACCGGATGATAATTGTGGTTACCAAAAAAAAAATATTTAGTTGATTTTTGGAGAAAAAATCAGACATTATATCTGATTTTGCGGTTTTTCATGATATGACAACTCTATGACGTCGATTTTACGCCGATTTGACGTTGATTTGACGATGATTTTGTTTTATTACTTAACGTTTTATATAAATTGGACGTGGATGACCATTCATCCCCACCACCGACCATCCCACCGCCCGTTTTCTCTGAAAAAAACCGAGCAAAAAACAAAGCTTTGACCATCCCACCGACCATCCCGACCAATATCGAAGCCATTCTTCGACATACCGTCATAGACTACCATATAACGACATCGGCGACCTTCCACCGCCACCGACCACCGTGGTCCGCCGTCGGTCACCATCCGCCGTCGTCGGGCACCATCCGCCGCCACCGACCACCGTCATCGGCCGCCCCTCACCACCTTCCGGCGCCAACAACCACCCTCTGCCGCCAACGACCACCGTCAAGAGCCGTCATCCACCACCCTCCTCCGCCACCAACCACCGTCTACCGCCGCTATCCACCACCGTCCGCCGCTACTATGGAAAATACTGGTACCATGGAGCTTGCGTACCTGAAAAATACTGGTACCATCGATGGAAACAGCCATCAAACGCCAATTACAGTCCGAATCTGAGTGACACACCACCTCGTACCGGTGTTTGGAAGATTTCTTTACTTTCATCTGAAAGTTTTCATGAACGCACTTTAATCCCACTGCGAGCTTAAGTGCTTCCTTCGAGTCAAAGGTTTGTAGAACTTTGACATGAGATGTAGGCTGGTAGGAAATGTTTCCCTTTCTACTTTTAATAACTGGGTCCGGACAAGGTGGTGGGTCGGGCATACCCCAAAAACTATTCCTTACCGGCTTGATATCTTCAGAATCGGAGTTATCGTCGTCTTCGGGTATGTTCAAAATTTCGGCAGCAACATAAACATCTTCTGCCATATCTACCTCCCACAACGGTTTTGACAGTTCGAGAGACCGGATCGGGTACGGGTTGGGAGACTGCATCGGAGGCATGTTCAAGTCTTGAACAAAATAACTGTCAGGTTBAAYRGTAACTTTTTRTTCAAGATATGAATTTCCAGCACCATCGTAGGGGAAGAAGGTGCTTCGATTTTCACCACTTCCACTGCTAGGGAAGAAAGTGCTCTGATTTAGACCAGGAGCACAACCGGTAGGGAAGAGTGTGCTTGGACCATATGGATTTGCAATGCTAACGTCGGGGAAGAGTGTGCTCACAGCACCGGTGTAAAAAGTGTTTGGACCTCCCGGGTTTGCATTTGATGGATTTCCTTCATAACCTCCATTGTCGACAACATATAGTGTCAACATTTCTGATAAAGTTTGACGAATGGCGTTGTAGAGGATTACCACATCATCGTCGTCCATAAACTGATATAAAGTATTCGTTTTAAAAAATAAATTGTAAGGACCACGTAAACTTAACTCTTTCGTCACACGTTTCACGACCCCATAAAACGTTATTAGCGAAGACAAACGTATTGCACATGTGGGGGAGGTTATCGGAAGGTACTCTAAAACACCATTTATATCTTGGAATAAACCGTCACTTCGAAGATACACATAAACATGATCACTTTCACGTGATTTCATGTTTTGTGATGGTTGATTGTGTTTAGTGGGTTAAAGGTTGTGATGGTTTATTGTGTTTAATGGGTTAAGGGTTGTGAGAGTAAAATATATGAGAAAAGAAATGAAAGGGAATGTGTGAAAAATTATTAAGTAGGAGGTTGGTATTTATAGTGAAATTGGTATTAGAAAAAAAAATCAAAAATTTTTTTAACCCGGATCGCCCCCCGTACAGTACGGATTGCCCCGGGGCGAGGTCAAACACGGTCAACGAGAGGATGAACAGTAAACACGGTCAACGAGAGGATGAACAGTAATCTCGACTTTTTAGGAATTTTTTTTACACTTAATGGGGGGATCGCCCCCGTAGTGTACGGATCGCCCCCGGGGGCGATCCGTGTGGTTATTTCGGCAAAAACTCTAAAATGTGGTTATTTTGTGGCAAAGGGTTGTGTAAACCGGTTATTTTTATAAATTTCCCTTTTGATAATAAGGCCAGAAGGCCGACATTATGTTTGGATGGACGCATAAGCCAATGAGTAAATTACACTATTGGTCATTGTGATTGTCATTCAGTATCAAGTTTATTCTCAATTTTAAAAATAATTACAATTTTGATCACTCTGGTTGCTACTTTCTTTCGGATGTGTTCCATTTAACTAACTTTTTGTTAAATAGCCCACTTAACTTAAGGGTCTTCAAATTTTTACATTTGTTTGTATTTTTCAATTTTATTTTATTAGATTTTCTTTGTCTTTTCTTCATAACACTCACCTTAAAGAACATGTCACAAAAATCTTTAATTTTATTATGATATTATATATACTAGGATTACTCGTGCAATGTAGCGAGATACATCTCGATTTTTGTATTCTATTTTATTCTTTGTCTTTGTCGATGTTATAATACGATTTTATATGTTTTTAAGAAAGAAAATAATGATTTTATTTTTGAATAAAATATAAATTTGAAGATATCATAAAAATTTGAAAAAAAAAATATCAATGCTAATGTCAAATCAACTATTTAAAGTTCTCATATTTTATGTAGATTATTTATTTTTATTATAATTTAATTTAAGTTTAAT